GAGTTTGAATCTACATTCACGTTGTCATACCTGGACATCTTGCAGTCACCTGATACTATCAAGAGTTGAGATCCACTGCTGTCTGGAGTTTGAATCTACATTCATGTTGTCATACCTGGACATCTTGCTGTCACCTGATACTATCAAGAGTTGAGATCCACTGCTGTCTGGAGTTTGAATCTACATTCACGTTGTCATACCTGGACATCTTGCTGTCACCTGATACTATCAAGAGTTGAGATCCACTGCTGTCTGGAGTTTGAATCTACATTCATGTTGTCATACCTGGACATCTTGCTGTCACCTGATACTATCAAGAGTTGAGATCCACTGCTGTCTGGAGTTTGAATCTACATTCACGTTGTCATACCTGGACATCTTGCTGTCACCTGATACTATCAAGAGTTGAGATCCACTGCTGTCTGGAGTTTGAATCTACATTCACGTTGTCATACCTGGACATCTTGCTGTCACCTGATACTATCAAGAGTTGAGATCCACTGCTGTCTGGAGTTTGAATCTACATTCACGTTGTCATACCTGGACATCTTGCTGTCACCTGATACTATCAAGAGTTGAGATCCACTGCTGTCTGGAGTTTGAATCTACATTCATGTTGTCATACCTGGACATCTTGCAGTCACCTGATACTATCAAGAGTTGAGATCCACTTGTGTTTCAGTAGACCCAGCTCAAACCAACACTTGCTACATATCAAAGCTTATTACGACACATGCACAAATGGAAGGGTCATAGGCATAAATAACATTTCCAATGTGCTGCCTTGCAGAATTGGAGGAGAAAAAAGGCAGCAATAAATGGGGAGAGAGGTGACGGAAAATGTGTTATGACACAAAATTAATTGATATTCAAAAATAGTCTTGTAAAACAGGGATGGTTTAGCGTTTGCTTGTTACACAGAAGATCTGGGTTTCGATTACCCGTCTGGGTACAACATTTGAAGCCTATTTCTGGTGTCCCCCACCGTGATATTGCTGGAATATTGCTAAAAGCGGCATAAAACCATCCTCAATCACTCTTGTAAAACATATTTGGAATCCTCAAATTTTCTTTCAGCCATTAGACTGCATGGAGAAGTCAGCTTACCTTGCACGACTCGCAACAGCTCCAGGTTGATGAGCTTGTACTCCTTGCTGGCTGATGCACTCACATCGGGGGTGCCCGTACTGCTGCTGCAACACAGTACACGTGCACTCAATGATTGCCACATTGTGACACCTTACACAGTATATGTGCACTCAGAGATTGCCACATTGTGACACCTTATACAGTACATGTGCACTCAGAGAATGCCACATCGCAACACTTTACACAGTACACGTGCACTCAGAGATTGCCACATCGTGACACCTTACACAGTATATGTGCACTCAGAGATTGCCACATTGTGACACCTTACACAGTACACGTGCACTCAGTGATTGCCACATCGTGACACCTTACACAGTACATGTGCACTCAGAGATTGCCACATCGTGACACCTTACCCAGTACACGTGCACTCAGAGATTGCCACATCGTGACACCTTACACAGTACATGTGCACTCAGAGATTGCCACATCATGACACCTTACACAGTACACGTGCACTCAGAGATTGCCACATCGTGACACCTTACACAGTACACGTGCACTCAGAGATTGCCACATCGTGACACCTTACACAGTACATGTGCACTCAGAGATTGCCACATTGTGACACCTTACACAGTACATGTGCACTCAGAGATTGCCACATCGTGACACCTTACACAGTACACGTGCACTCAGAGATTGCCAGATTGTGACACCTTACCCAGTACACGTGCACGCACAAGATTGCCACATCATGACACCTTACACAGAACACATGGACTCCCAAGATTGCCACATCGTGACACCTTATACAGTACACGTGCACTCAGAGATTGCCACATTGTGACACCTTACACAGTACACGTGCACACAGAGATTGCCACATCGTGACACCTTATACAGGACAGATGCACTCAGTGATTGCCACATCGTGACACCTTATACAGTATATGTGCACTCAGAGATTGCCACATTGTGACACCTTATACAGTACATGTGCACTCAGAGAATGCCACATCGCAACACCTTACACAGTACATGTGCACTCAGAGATTGCCACATTGTGACACCTTATACAGTACACGTGGACTCACAAGATTGCCACATCGTGACACCTTACCCAGTACACGTGCACGCAGAGATTGCCACATCGTGACACCTTACACAGTACACATGGACTCCCAAGATTGCCACATCGTGACACCTTATACAGTACATGTGCACTCACAAGATTGCCACATCGTGACACCTTACACAGTACACGTGCACTCAGAGATTGCCACATCGTGACACCTTACACAGTACACGTGCACTCAGAGATTGCCACATTGTGACACCTTATACAGTACACGTGCACTCAGTGATTGTCACATCATGACACCTTATACAGTACACGTGCACTCAGTGATTGTCACATCGCAACACCTTATACAGTACACGTGCACTCATTGATTGCCACATCTTGACCCCTTATACAGTACATGTGCACTCGGTGATTGCCACATCGTGACACCTTACACAGTACATGTGCACTCAGTGATTGCCACATCTTGACACCTTACACAGTACACGTGCACTCAGAGATTGCCACATCATGACACCTTACACAGTACACGTGCACTCGGAGCCACATTGTGACACCTTACACAGTACACGTGCACTCAGAGATTGCCACATTGTGACACCTTATACAGTACACGTGCACTCAGAGATTGCCACATTGTGACACCTTACACAGTACACGTGCACTCAGAGATTGCCACATCGCAACACCTTACACAGTACACGTGCACTCAGAGATTGCCACATTGTGACACCTAATACAGTACACATGGACTCAGAGATTGCCACATCGTTACATTGTTGTCACAGTCACATCATCATCATCATCATCATCATCATCAGACTTACTCAGGCAGTCGTGTGTTCTGCTCCACTGCATGCCGTGCTGTACCAAGAACTGTGCTGGGACTATGAGCAACAGTGGTTGCTGGCGATGTTGCGAGTGTCGTTCCTGATGCTGTTGCTGGTGAGTTTGGTGTTTTTATCAATGTTGCAGATTTTGAGACACCGGGCGTGTCTGGCTGGGTTGACGCCTCTGCCCCCGGGGTTGGCTCTGGGAGAGACCCTGGATGAGCTGCCGACTCCATGGGTTTAGGAGATGATGAGGATTTTAATCTTTTTAGTGTTTTCAAGGCTGAACTTGACTTTCTCTTTAAACCTAAAAGTCAAATTTATTCGAGTTGATCAGTGAGCGGTTTTAATGGAGAGATCGAAAAAAACTAGTCCAAATTACGACAATGTCTTTTTGACAAAATATGTCGCAAACACTTAGACCCCTTTTTTCGAACTCGGATGTGTCAAATCCACGGACCACAGCCTTGTCATCTCAAATCATACTATACTTATCACTACTTTAACCCAGATGTGTCAATATGGATGTGCGGAATTCCCGACTGTCTCAAACTCAACATATAGTCGTATCACAAGATGATAAGTCATGTGATCTCATGATGATCAAATCATATATTTTGCTTGTTTGTTGTTAAACACCGCACTCAGCAATATTCCAGCTATATGACGGAGTTCTGTAAATAATCGAGTCTGGACCAGACAATCCAGTGATTCGAATCATGAGCATCGATACACGCAATTGGGATCGATGACATGCATCAACCAAGTCAGTGAGCCTGACCACCCGATCTTACGACAAGCTTAGTCGCCTCTAACGGCAAGCATGGGTTGCTGAAGACCTATTCTAACCGGGATTCAATGATATAAATAATGTAAATGTATAAATGTAGATATGCCAAATGCTACTGTTTTTCTTCCTTTATTAATATCAAGTACAATAAAGTACGTTTACCTTCTGTTCGTTAATGGCTAGGTCAGACGGCCGAGTCGGATGTGTCAAACCCCGGATAAGTCCTCAGGAGTTTGAGACAATGGGGTTTCACCTTACTGTCTTGACAGAATAGGGTTTCGAAAAGTGAGTAGGGTTTTTAATGCTGATTTAAACAGTATTCCAGTTATATCACGGCATGTTAGCTTGATGTGGGAGGAAAGCCCCAAATGACGCAGGCCTTACGACTTTCATTGCTTTGGCAAAACCCAAGAGCAAGCGAATGGTGCTGACAGACCAGAAATTAATCAGGGTGAATCAGGATTCAAACCCACAATCATTGGTTTCTGGCATGCCCAAGGGACACAACTCTGCACAGCGAATTACGGCGCCTTAGTCGACTGGGCTATCGCTGACTCCGTTTAAATAAGAGTAAATATTCAGAGAAATTGACAATGGCAGGCATCTTTGCAGATAAAACAAGCCGAGGAACATACTACTGGAGAATGTACCGTTGTCCTTCTTCTCCGGGGTCACCTTACTCCACACCACCTTCGTAGCTGGAAAAAACATCGAGACATGTACAACTTTCCATAACCAGTGCCAAGAAAATTGTAGTGTTATTTAAGGATATTACATTCCTCTGACTACCTTTGGTTTCTTTGCTTGTTTGTTTGTTTCTGATTTGGCAATAATACAGTAGAATGTCCCTTCAAGAGTTGATAAAATCATGAAAATGTCCAATCAAGAGTTGATAAAATCATGAAAATGTCCAATCAAGAGTTGATAAAATCATGAAAATGTCCAACCAAGAGTTGATAAAATCATGAAAATGTCCAATCGAGAGTTGATAAAATCATGAAAATGTCCAACCAAGAGTTGATAAAATCATGAAAATGTCCAATCAAGAGTTGATAAAATCATGAAAATGTCCAATCGAGAGTTGATAAAATCATGAAAATGTCCAACCAAGAGTTGATAAAATCATGAAAATGTCCGATCAAGAGTTGATAAAATCATGAAAATGTCCAATCGAGAGTTGATAAAATCATGAAAATGTCCAACCAAGAGTTGATAAAATCATGAAAATGTCCAACCAAGAGTTGATAAAATCATGAAAATGTCCAATCAAGAGCTGATAAAATCATGAAAATGTCCAATCAAGAGTTGATAAAATCATGAAAATGTCCAATCGAGAGTTGATAAAATCATGAAAATGTCCAATCAAGAGTTGATAAAATCATGAAAATGTCCAATCAAGAGTTGATAAAATCATGAAAATGTCCCATCAAGAGTTGATAAAATGTCCTTATTCCATGTCTCCAAATCAGAATCTCAGAATGGTACAGACCATTTACACTGATGAAACTAGACTCTTAATATTTTTTGTGTTCCTCAAAAGGATTATGTTAAGATTTTGTCATATGCACAGAACGTTGGTTGAATCTTGTTTACAATAAAGATGGCAACGTGCAGAATGAGATTTACCTCCCTTTCATGCATCTGACTCACCTTCTGGATGCAGGGTCTGGCATATGTGACTCTGACTCACCTTCTGGGTGCAGGGTCCAGCGTATGTGACTCTGACTCACCTTCTGGGTGCAGGGTCCGGCGTATGTGACTCTGAATCACCTTCTGGGTGCAGGGTCCAGCATATGTGACTCTGACTCACCTTCTGGGTTCTGGGTCCAGCGTATGTGACTCTGACTCACCTTCTGGGTGCAGGGTCTGGCAGATGTGACTCTGACTCACCTTCTGGGTGCAGGGTCCAGCGTATGTGACTCTGACTCACCTTCTGGGTGCAGGGTCTGACAGATGTTGGCCACAGCTTCCAGGGAGGGCAACACTTTGGAGAATTTGTTCTCGGCCATCAGAAGGTCAACATTATCAAGGCTAGACAGCAGCTGGGACTGCTCCACCATGGACTTCAGCCTACAACACAACAGCACAGTCATACACGTCACTCAGCCTACAACACAACAGCACAGTCATACACTACACTCAGTCTACAACACAACAGCACATTCATACACGTCAATCAGCCTACAACAAAACAGCACATTCATACACTACACTCAGCCTACAACAAAACAGCACATTCATACACGTCACTCAGTCTACAACACAACAGCACAATCATACACGTCACTCAGTCTACAACACAACAGCACAATCATACACGTCACTCAGTCTACAACACAACAGCACAATCATACACGCCACTCAGTCTACAACACAACAGCACATTGATACACTACACTCAGTCTACAACACAACAGCACATTCATACACTACACTCAGTCTACAACACAACAGCACAGTCATACACTACACTCAGTCTACAACACAACAGCACATTCATACACTACACTCAGTCTACAACACAACAGCACAGTCATACACGTCACTCAGCCTACAACACAACAGCACAGTCAAACACTTCACTCAGTATGCAACACAACAGCACATTCATACACTACACTCAGTCTACAACACAACAGCACATTCATACACGTCAATCAGCCTACAACAAAACAGCACATTCATACACTACACTCAGCCTACAACAAAACAGCACATTCATACACGTCACTCAGTGTACAACACAACAGCACAATCATACACTTCACTCAGTCTACAACACAACAGCACATTAATACACTACACTCAGTCTACAACACAACAGCACAGTCATACACGTCGCTCAGCCTACAACACAACAGCACAGTCATACACTTCACTCAGTATGAAACACAACAGCACATTCATACACTACACTCAGCCTACAACACAACAGCACAGTCATACACGTCACTCAGTCTACAACACAACAGCACATTCATACACTACACTCAGTCTACAACACAACAGCACAATCATACACGTCACTCAGTCTACAACACAACAGCACATTGATACACTACACTCAGTCTACAACACAACAGCACAATAATACACGTCACTCAGCCTACAACACAACAGCACAGTCATACACGTCACTCAGTCTACAACACAACAGCACATTGATACACTACACTCAGTCTACAACACAACAGCACAGTCATACACTTCACTCAGCCTACAACACAACAGCACAGTCATACACTTCACTCAGTCTACAACACAACAGCACAGTCATACACTACACTCAGCCTACAACACAACAGCACAATCATACACGTCACTCAGTCTACAACACAACAGCACAGTCATACACCAGCCTTCAGTCTGCAACACAACAGCACAGTCATACACCAGCCTTCAGTCTACAGCACAACAGAAAATTCATATACCAGCCTTCAGTCTACAACACAACAGCATATTCAAACACTAGCCTTCAGTCTGCAACACAACAGTACAGTCACACACTAGCCTTCAGTCTACAGCACAACAGTACAGTCATACACCAGCCTTCAGTCTGCAACACAATCATACAAGGTAACTTCAAAGGCCTAGGGGTCAGTCAATGGGTCAGTCAATGGGTCATCATGGTTATTGTACTCATGAAAATATCCAGCCTAAATATCTGGCCTAAAGTACTGTCTGTCTGTCTGTCTGCATGAAAATCTGACTGCACCCCCTGTCTGCACGCCTAAATGAGGGGAGGGGAGGTGAAATTGAGTTAAACTTCACGTCCAAGATTATTGCACTTATATAGCGACGTGCATGCATGTATGTGTGTGTGTGTGTGTCTGCTTGTACTAGTCCGGACTGATGCCAATTTAACATGAATACCCAACTCAGACACAGTATACTGACTCCGATCCGACCAGTCCTTGTTTTAGCCCCATTATGCCGAGCGCCAGGCAGGGTAACAACAAGTACCATCTTTTAACGTCTTTTGGTATGACGCGACCGGGGATCAAACCCCGGACCTTCCCCTCTCCGGGCGGACTCTCTACCACTAGACCACAGGGCGGTCGCATGCCTGAATGAGAGTAAGTGAGTATGGTTTTACGCCGCTTTTAGCAATATTCCATCAGTCAAGGTTGGGGACACCAGAAATGGGCTTCACACGTTGTACCCATATGGGAAATCAAACCCGGACCTTTGGCGTGAGGAACAAATGCTTTAACCACTAGACCACTCTTCCATCCCTTAGTTGAGGTATGGCCTGCATGTTTACTAGCAGTCCATCCCTGTAATATGTTTGATCTGGAGGAATTTATTCAAAAATGTATGCCAAAAGATGAGTAGTATATTAAAATGTGTCATTAGTATTTTTACTAGGACTGATACGATTCACTTGCGTATTCGGTGAATCGAACCGTATCCATAAAAATTGAATTCATTATTCGTGGCCACAAGAATTGAATATTTATGAATATGCAATCAAGTGCATTTTCATAACCTGTACCTAAAAATATCCTTAAGAATATATTATATGCATAGATTTCTTCCAAAACAACACTCTTATGATATTTAATTTAACAGTATTGTGGTCACTGGTCATTGTCGCATTTGAGCAGATACTAGTACCTGGATAAGAGCAGTATATAAATGTATAATATATTAATAATTAACAAACGATGTCAAATAATGTATGTTGTTATTGTTTCACTGTTATGACAAATAATACATAAACTGCTGACTTGTTTTTGTATTCATGAATTAATATTCATATTCATTACCTATATTCCTGATACGAATCATATTCGCCGCATAGTGTATTCGTTGCAGCCCTAATTGTTACCATCTAGTAATACTGTCAATATTGATGTTTATTATAAAACTATTTATGTGTTAACTCCTTGCTGGGATCTCCTCATCTCACTCCATCACTCTATCAAAAAATCTCTCATGAACTATGAGTAAGTGCTTATCCTTAGTCTGAGGCTGCGTCTTATCATCTTCCCCAGGCAAGGGAATTAACTGACAATGAAAGTCCAGTTTCCACCCTTGCTGAACTAGGCTGGTATTATGGAGTTATATTTTGGCTGGACTAACGAGTCTATGCATAGTTCAATCAAAATAGCGAAACGAAATCGAAATCCGGTTTGTAAACTGTCGTGCAGATTTCGATCGATTGCAGGATTTGCAAAGCATGTGCACCGCCAACTTGGCATGAACAGATATTTTCTAAATCGAAAACATGGAAAGCCCAGTTTGACAAGGGTGGAAACTGGACTTTATAGGCAAGGGAATGAACTGACCATACAAGTCCAGTTTCCATCCTTGTTGAACTAGACTGGAATTTCTGGGCTCGATCCCAGTGCCACCAGTGGTTAGTTGTGTCTCTTCTATTGACCAATCAGATTCAACCTCTTTTTTCACTTGCATTTCATTCAAATAAAATGGCAGCACCCAGTCAAGACTATCTGATCAATAATCAAGATCTATATTGTGATGAAACCCAAAGAAATTATAAACGGGCATTCCGTCAACCTTGCCAAACTCCACGATGACAGTTACATCACGATCATTTGCCATCACACTTTCTTGTGGAAGTATCGTGGTATTTTTTAGTCCTATAAAGCTCTCGAACCCACACGACACCAGTTTGCAGGGACTAGATGAATAGTGTTTTTAAATATTTAACTTAAATACCCACATGTGTAAAAACTAGTGGGTAACAGAAATTTGAATACGCAGATAGAATTACTGATACCCAATGATTTTAAAATGCATGGGTAAAATACCCACAACACCAAAAGCTTATCTGGAGCTCTGCCACCCAAAATATAACTCCTGAATTCCAGCCTAGTACGGCAAGGGTTGAAACTGGACTTTTATTGTCAGTTAACGCCCTTGCCTTGGGAAGATGGTTACTTCGTCACTTAGGGTGGAGGGACTCACTGTTGTGGTAGGTCCAGCATCTCCTTGATGTTGCCGTGCGGCTTCGTGGTACACGTGATCACCTTCTGGATCATCCGGGTGGAGTTCGTGTACTTCTCCTCCAGGGCTTTCAGGTCTAACTTTAGATTGTCAAGGTTCTTCTCGTGATATGTTGTAAGGTATTTTTTTATTTCTTCTTTTTTATCTGAAACATTTACAAAATTGGTCATGTTCTGAGTAAGTGAGAGAGTGTGAGTGAGTGTGGACGCGTGTATGTGAGTGTGAGTATGTGAGAGTATGTGAGAGAGTGAGTGAGAGTGAGTCTGTGAAAGTATGCGAGAGTGAAAGTGAGAGTGAGTATGTGAGAGTGTGAGGGAGAGTGAGAGTCTGTGAAAGTATGTGAGAGTGAGTCTGTGAAAGTATGCGAGAGTGAGAGTCTGTGAAAGTATGTGAGAGTGAGTATGTGATAGTGTGAGAGAGTGAGTGAGAGTCTGTGAAAGTATGTGAGAGTGAGAGTGAGAGTGAGTATGTGATAGTGTGAGAGAGTGAGTGAGAGTGTGAAAGTATGTGAGAGTGAGTATGTGATAGTGTGAGAGAATGAGTGAGAGTCTGTGAAAGTATGTGAGAGTGAGAGTGAGTATGTGATAGTGTGAGAGAGTGAGTGAGAGTCTGTGAAAGTATGTGAGAGTGAGAGTGAGAGTGAGTATGTGATAGTGAGTGAGAGTGAGTGAGAGTCTGTGAAAGTATGTGAGAGTGAGTATGTGATAGTGTGAGAGAATGAGTGAGAGTCTGTGAAAGTATGTGAGAGTGAGAGTGAGAGTGAGTATGTGATAGTGTGAGAGAGTGAGTGAGAGTCTGTGAAAGTATGTGAGAGTGAGAGTGAGAGTGAGTATGTGATAGTGTGAGAGAGTGAGTGAGAGTCTGTGAAAGTATGTGAGAGTGAGAGTGAGAGTGAGTGAGTGAGAGTGAGTGAGAGTGAGTGTAAAAGTATGTGAGAGAGAGAGAGAGAGTGAGTGAGAGTGAGTGTAAAAGTATGTGAGAGTGAGAGTGAGTGTAAAAGTATGTGATAGTGTGAGAGAGTGAGTGAGAGTGAGTGTAAAAGTATGTGAGAGAGAGAGAGAGAGAGTGAGAGTGAGTGTAAAAGTATGTGAGAGAGAGAGAGAGTGAGTGTAAAAGTATGTGAGAGAGAGAGAGAGAGTGAGTGAGAGTGAGTGTAAAAGTATGTGAGAGAGAGAGAGAGTGAGAGTGAGGATGTGAGAGTGAGAGTGAGAGTGAGTATGTGAGAGTTAGAGTGAGTGAGAGTGAGTGTAAAAGTATGTGAGAGAGTGAGTGTGACTATGTGAGAGTGTGAGAGAATGAGTGAGAGTGAGTGTAAAAGTATGTGAGAGAGAGAGAGTGAGAGTGAGTATGTGAGAGTGTGAGTGAGAGTCTGTGAAAGTATATGACAGTGAGAGTGAGAGTGAGTATGTGATAGTGTGAGAGAGTGAGTGAGAGTCTGTGAAAGTATGTGAGAGTGAGAGTGAGAGTGAGTATGTGATCGTGTGAGAGAGTGAGTGAGAGTGAGTGTAAAAGTATGTGAGAGTGAGAGAGAGTGAGAATGTGAGAGTGTGAGAGAGTGAGTGAGAGTGAGTCTGTGAGAGTATGTGAGTATGTAAGTGAGTGAGTGAGAGTGAGAGTGACAGTGTGAGAGAGTGTGTCAGTGAGTGAGTAACTGTACAACAAGTCATATAGTTTGCCAGGCCTAACAGTAACACAATATAACGACACAACTTACCATGCAGCACTGACTGAAGCTGCTGAAACGCCCCGTCTATCTCAGCACACATCTTCTTATTGGATAACTGCAACAACATTAAGTGTCACAATCAGCACAATGTCCACACAACATGGAATGCAGGAATTATGCATCCATACACCAGCAGATGTGTTTTTGTAAGGGAAGGCCTGTTGACACTTGAATGTATTGTCAGGGTCTTGAACATCTTCCGAGGCAAGAGCGTCCACTGGCCTGTTTATCAAAGTCTTGTTTCCACCCTTGCCACATCAAGCCTACTTTCCAGTGCTGAATATGATTGGACTATCGCAATTATGGAAAGACCAATCAGAGAACGTGTCACAAAAGCAACATCCATGACTGGTACACCTTCGTATGAAAGTGATTTACCGCTGCCTGTGATCTACCGTTGACATGAATATGCCTTTTTCATCTTTTAAACCCCCCAACGATTGACAGTGTTTTTGTGACAGGGATGAAATCGCGAATGTTTTCGTTATCTGTTCGACTAGATTGTCTCCTACGGTAGTCGCCATCTTTGTGAAGCTATACAAGATAAGAACAGTGATCTGACTGGATATCGCATTTTCATTACAAGGGACACAACTCATGATCTAAGCGAGGTGGCACCAGGGTCGAGCCAAGAAAAGTGGCCTTGATGTGACAAGGGTAGAAACTAGGCTTTGAATAGGCTAGTGGACATGCTTGCCTCGGGAAGATGGGTTTTGAAACACTCGTATCTCTTCTTAAGAGGTCAGTCGTACCAGGCTTATATGAACCAAAGTTTTCACCTACGTTTTCGACAGTTTGAAAGCAGCCACACACACACACACTCACACAGATGCATGCACATCGCTATTTAAGTGCAATAATCTTGAACGTGACACCAAACCCCATTTCACCATTGTTCACCTCACCTCACCTCACATTTAAGTTGTAACCATGGTAACCAACCTCAATCTCTTTCTGCGTTTTCTTCCTATCCTCCATCTGCGTCTGGAGCCGCTTCTGGAGCACTTGGAGCTCATTCAGGTCATCGGCTACCTTCTCCTGCAACCAGTAACCATGGCAACAGAATTATAACCAGCAACAGTGAGAGTTGGTGTTTTGTAGCTCTCCCGATGTGCCTGTCTCATGTATCGATATACATCCCGATACGGAAGTCATACAAAATATATATCCATCACGATACTTAATTTGTACCATTTTTGTGTCATATTCTTCCTGTTCCATGTGGCGCCTCTTCCACTTTTTTGGAGTTGTTGAAGTCAACCAGTTTGCATTAAAATTGCAAGGCGAAATAATTCAAGTTCATTACAAAAGTACTGCAGTTAGATTTAACATTTTGTTTTGTACATTTTGTATGGCAATGTTAGTCTGAGTAGTTGGCAGGAAAGGATGGGACAAAACTTGTTTATCATTCCTTCATGTCAGAATGATGAGATCTGATTGGTCAATGTGATCCTGATAAAATTCTATGTATCCCGTCTTGGAGGGAAATATATTTCTCAGCAGGGAATAAATCATTTATACCCCACCATGAACAAGACAGGCTGCACATTGATTTCTTTAAGGTAGAAAGCCGCACGCATCAATGGAGCGTAAAACCATACTCACTCACTCACTCACTCACTCACTCACTCTCTCATTCACTCCAGCTCATGGTACAAAACCTAAAGCAGGATGCATAAAACCCCATGTAATCCTCGTGATCCTGCTACAACTTGTAACATAAGGGTACATATGGGTACATATTATTGTTTTTAAGTTGATACAGAATTCAATAATGAATTCACACATTTGTTTCTTTGTTTGTTGTTTAACGCCACACTCAGCAATATTCCAGCTATATGACGGTGCTCTGTAGATAATCGAGTCTGAACCAGACAATCCAGTGATTGACATCATGAACATCAATCCGAGCATTTGGGATACGATGGCATGCATCAACCAAGTCAGCGAGCCTTACCACCCTATCCCTTTAGTTGCCTCTTACGACAAGCATAGTCGCCTTTTAGGTATGAATGGTTCCTGAAGACCTATTGTAAGGATCTTCATGGGTTATCATACATGGGTAGGTGGATCATCAAACTGATGGATCATCACTCTTGTGGATCATGTAGCAATGTGTCATCTTCCTGAGGCAAGAGAGTTAACTGACTATAAAAGTCCAGTTTCCACACTTGCCGAACTAAGCTGGTATTATGGAGTTACATTTTGGCTGGACTAACGAGCCTATGCATAGTCCAATCAAAATCGCGCAACGAAATGGAAATCCGGTTCGTAAACTGTCGTGCAGATTTCGGTCGATTGCAGGGTTTACAAAGCATGTGCACTGCCAACTCGTTGTCAACAGATATTTTCTAAATCTTTTCATGTTTTTAATCAAGGTGCTCACGTGATTTGATGCACTTCGCGGTGTAAGACTTGTTTTATCACAATATAGATCTTGATTAACAAACAGATCGTCTTGACTTGGCGCCGCCATTTTGTTTGAATCAAATGCAAGAGATACGAGAATTGGAATCTGATTGGTCCATAGGAGAGGCATAGAAGGGACATAACTCGTAATAGCCACGGTGGCGCTACAATCGAGCCCAGGAATTCCAGCCTAGTTCGGCAAGGGTGGAAACTGGACTTTTATAGTCAGTTAACTCCCTGCCTCGTGAAGATGGCAATGTGTAAACTTGCAGTGAATTGATAACGAGGTAGGTGTCCACCTTACTGGTGAAACCTACGAGGCAGATGTGGACCTGGGTGATGAAACCCACAATGTAGACTCCAACCACCTTGGTGAAACCCACAATGTAGACTCCAACCACCTTGGTGAAACCCACGATGTAAGCATCGCCCACCTTGGTGAAACCCACAATGTAGACTCCAACCACCTTGGTGAAACCCACAATGTAGACTCCAACCACCTTGGTGAAACCCACAATGTAGACTTCAACCACTTTGGTGAAACCCACAATGTAGACTCCTACCACCTTGGTGAAACCCACAATGTAGACTCCAACCACCTTGGTGAAACCTACGATGTAAGCATCGCCCACCTTGGTGAAACCCACAATGTAGACTCCAACCACCTTGGTGAAACCCACAATGTAGACTCCTACCACCTTGGTGAAACCCACAATGTAGACTCCAACCACCTTGGTGAAACCCACAATGTAGACTCCAACCACCTTGGTGAAACCCACGATGTAAGCATCGCCCACCTTAGTTAAACCCACAATGTAGACTCCAACCACCTTGGTGAAACCCACAATGTAGACTCCAACCACCTTGGTAAAACCCACAATGTAGACTCCAACCACCTTGGTGAAACCCACAATGTAGACTCCAACCACCTTGGTGAAACCCACAATGTAGACTCCAACCACTTTGGTGAAACCCACAATGTAGACTCCTACCACCTTGGTGAAACCACGATGAAGACTCCAACCACCTTGGTGAAACCACGATGTAGGCGTCGACCACCTTGGTGAAACCCACAATGTAGACTCCAACCACCTTGGTGAAACCCACAATGTAGACTCCAACCACCTTGGTGAAACCCACAATGTAGACTCCTACCACCTTGGTGAAACCCACAATGTAGACTCCAACCACCTTGGTGAAACCACGATGTAGGCGCTGCCCACCTTGGTGAAACCCACAATGTAGACTCCAACCACCTTGGTGAAATCCACGATGCAAGTGTCGACCACCTTGGTGAAACCCACGATGTAGACTCCAACCACCTTGATGAAACCCACAATGTAGGCATCGACCACCTTTGTGAAACCCACAATGTAGACTCCAACCACCTTGATGAAACCCACAATGTAGGCATCGACCACCTTGGTGAAACCTACGTGATCATATTCTGATGCATCGTTCTGACAAAAGAAAGGTCCTAGGTTCAGGAATCTGGTCGGAATACTGCCGAAAGTGGCATTAAACAAGAAACCAACAAACAAATAACACTTGCATTTGGTTTCAATAACTGTTTGGAACTTTTAAACAACAAACAAACAAACAAACTCAATTAAATTCAACTCTGCTAATTTTCACTTAATTCTCCCAACCTGGAACTTTTGTTCTGGACAAAGCGTCTTCCAATGTTTGATGACATCACTGAGTTCCATGCTGAAGACGCGGCACTGTAAACGATGTCAAGTTTGTCATCGCCAGTTACCATGGTTACTTGTGACAATGATTATCTATTTTATCCACGACGAAATAAACAATCAGATACTGGAATAGGGTGATCCAGTCTTTACAAAGTAGATCCAGGATTGTTTAAAGACGGATGTTTGAACCCAATACATTCTTCAGTAAAATGTTTAGCATTATTCCAGCCATACTAGAGGGTGCCAACAATGGCCCTTGCAAGTGTGGCATCAAACCCTGGTGTTTGGCGTGATGAGCGAACACTTCAACCACTAGACTACCCAGCCATACTAGAGGGCGCCAACAATGGCCCTTGCAAGTGTGGCATCAAACCCTGGTGTTTGGCATGATGAGCGAACACTTCAACCACTGGACTACCCAACCTTGATGAAATGGCATTTATCTTGTTTATATACTGCTCAAAACAACTCAAGGACCAACCAATTCTTTCATATTCGCATAGTTAATCTGTCATGGCATGACAGATGAACTACCATATTCGTCGTTATAAGCAGCCCGGCCCTTAGGAAATTGGTAGAGGTCGGCCCTCAGAGCTAAGATAAGCTGCGTATTAATACTCATAAAATAAACTGAAATAAGTAGACAAATCAAATCCTAGCATATCAAACACACAACAAAATCTATGAATACGCTATTAAAATAAAATTAATGCGTATATTACAATTATTAGCATGATTAGATAAAACGATTTGCGTATATGACAACTGTTAGATAAAATGATTGTGTATCAGCCGATCGCCAAAGTCACTTACCGACAGTTCCACTCGGAAAAGCTTCTACGACAAAAATACTGATAGATGCCATTTGAAAAGCACATCGTGCCTAGTCAATGTACATGTATCTTAATTAACCGCTGATTTGTGAAATATACAAATTAACCAAAAATATCTTCCTGGAAAGGGAGCCACAAGCAGATGCAGGCGGGCAGACTACTATTCACATGGTTTAAATGATTTACAGGGATTGTTATGAAACAGGTTTTAAGCTAAATGCCCAAATGTGAAGACACAGGTGGGTAAAAAAATTTGAATACCTTCTAAAACCTGTGGATACCCAATCAAAATCAAACCCTGGGTAAAATACCCAAATAACCAAAAGCTTATCTAGAGCTCTGGCCCTTACTAAAACCATACACAACAAGTTAGATTGGTTTTCAGAGATTGCGTGGGAGTGAACAAACTTAGGTCAAATGCTGCTTTTAATAGTATTTCAGTTATATCACCGCGTGTCAGCTTCATGTGGGAGGAAAGCCCGAAGTGATGCAGGTCTCAGACGTTTACCACTTCGGTGAAACCCACGAACACGGGTATGGTTTTGATAAACCTAGAAACATAATCGAGTCGAACCGGGATTCGAACCCACGATCATAGGTTTCTGGCGTTCCCAAGGGACACAACTCTGCACAGCGATTCAGGGCACCTAAGACAACTGGTCCCCCCAAATGTTGCTAAAACCAAAACGTTTTTGAACATATTTACGAGGCAATTATGCAAAACTATACAAAAAAAAATATGAACTGTTATGTAAATTTGCAGGTGGAGGGGGGAAGGGGATTATTGGACAAGGGCGCTTGATACGGCAAATACAGTATAGTAATATTATAGCAACGTGTGGTCCTTTTTGGGTAGTATACTTGACAAAACATAATTTTGAAAATAAATTCCACTTTTGTTTCCACAGTTTCAAAATTTCAATACATTTACTAAACTTTACTTTGAAAGTGTTTGTTTGTTTGGTTGTTATTTAATGATGCACTCAGCAATATTCCAGCTATATGATGGTGGTCTGTGGACCAGACAATACAGTGATTGACATCATAAGCATCGATCTAAGCAACTGGGGTATGATGACATGCATCGACCAAGTCAGGGGGCCTGACCACCCGATCCCGATAGTTGCCTCTTACAAGCATGGGTAGCTGAAGACCTATTCTAACTCGGATCTTCACGGGAGTAAAAACAGTGAGTCCCAAATTTAGGGGTCATTAGGATCTTCCCCGTAGTAGTTTCATCTAAACAGCCCCTAAATCTCCAACCGTTAACATTAGGGTGATGACAAATACCCTTTGACTTTCATGATTAATTTCAAACACTGCACAAGCACTGATCATGAACTAAATAAGGCAATACAGACTTGAATCATAAACAAAGCATCAAAGCATGATCATATAGTATAATACAGCAATATTTTGCGATATGTTTTGCAATATACACTGCACACAAAAAGGGCAGGGACTATGAATACTTCAATCTCATTAAAATTAGACCTTAGTTCTCGTTACCGCTAAACAAAGATCTGAGGACATCCCATTAGGGGTCACGTCAGAACAACCTTTCATCCGACCAATCAGAGCATCGCTTACCAGATCATGAAAGTGACAGTTGGAATGTGATTTCTAATCATGCATCCTCAAAAACTAACACAAACACATCTAATAGCCATTCCAGAATGTTCTTTTGTTCAGGTTTCAAATTTTTAATCAAGAATTTGTCAAAATATGTTTCGAAGCGTAGTCACCAATTTGAAATTAGTCCCGTAAAGCACGAGAAAGCTGCCTTCTGATTGGTCATTCCATTGGTTGGTCAAAGTTCGCACAAGGTCGGTCTGACGAGACCCGTAATGTGATGTCCTCAGATCTTTGTTTAGGGGTAACGAGAACTAAGATATGATTTTAATGAGATTGGAGAATATTTCTGGGATGTTTTTGTACTGAAGACTGAGCACACAATTTCATAAAAATATCTAAAAAATATTCATGATCCCAAACGGTAACACGATTTGTTCGTATATTGGGAGCTGCAGTCAGAGCTCCAGATAAGCTGCGTATCTGCGTAAAATACGCATCAGAAATGCAGAAATACGCAGTGAAATAATATTCAAGCGTATCAAATAAGCAACGAACATTAGATACGCTACAAAAATATAACTTGTGCGTATCATCAAAATATTGTGAAGTAACCCTGCGTATTCGATAAGCAAATCAGCAACTTATTTTGCATTATAAACGGGCATTCCTTCAACCTTGCCAAACTCCATGATGACAGTTACATCATGATCATTTGCCATCACACTTTCTTGTGGAAGTATCATGGTAATTTTGAGTCCTATAAAGCTCTCAAACCCACACGTCACCAGTTTGCAGGGACTAGATGAATAGTGTTTTTAAATATTTAACTTAAATACCCACATGTGTAAAAACTAGAGGGTAACAGAAATTTGAATACCCAGACAGAATAACTGATACCCAATGATTTTAAAATGCATGGGTAAAATACCCACAACACCAAAAGCTTGTCTGGAGCTCTGTGCAGTGTTTGACAGTGATTGACACTGTACATGCAGGTCCTATTTTCTACATACTAAAGTAAATATCACAATGTCAGAGTCAGGATGTTGATTTCATTGTGTGATTTTGATTGGACTCTGCATAGATTTGTTAGACCAGCCAAACTATGACTCCATAACCGCAGCCTAGTTCGGCAAGGGTGGAAACTGGACTTTTACAGTCAATCAACTCCCTTGCCTCGGGAAAACACAGCTCAATGGGCCTTGACCTTTCAGGGGGATGTCGAAAGTGGAAAGTTAATAACAGACGGACAGACGACAGACAACGCATCATGACATTATTATATTATACACTCATATCTGACAGGTATCCAGGTACTAGTAACTGCTCAAATGCAGCTTTATTTGTTCCCTGACCAATGGATCTGTTTGCATTCCATCATTCTCAACTCCGTGGGGAGTATACCACCGAAGCTGCCTAGGGGCGCTAGAGGGTTTTTACATCCGCCTGAATATCACACAAGTGTTGACACATGAGCTGACTTGACTTTCTTGATTATCAATCAGGTCATCTTGACTGGGGGGCACAGGTGGCCAAGTCGTCAACACCGCGATTCGCTGTGCAGAGTTGCGTCCCTTGGGCACGCCAGAAACCTATGATTGTGGGTTCAAATCCCGGTTCGCCCTGATTATGCTTCTAGGTTTGTCGGCACCATACCCGTGCTCGTGGGTTTCACCGAAGTGTTAAACGTCTGAGACCTGCATCACTTCGGCTTGGTTCAGCAAAGGCTTGAAACTGGATAGCTAAAGTCAGTTATCTCCCTTGCCTCAGGAAGGTGACAAGCTCCTCACAGCAATTATCGCTGCAACCAGTCAAAACTCCCAACTGTGATAGGTGATAACAACAATGCTTGGAGTTGAACTAGCAGCCGACTGACCGTTATGTTTACAAACATGTGATGAGTGTCCCTGCTGAATTATTTTGTTTGTCAGTTTGAATTGTTTTATTACAACTATCATGTAATTGGTATAGTGCGAATGTTGGGGGAAGGGGGAAGATGGTTGATTTTCAATTCATCTGCAATCTCGAACCTCTCGAATCTCTGATTATACAAATAATGTACATTCCTCTGGTGAGTGAGTGAGTGAGTGAGTGAGTGAGTTAGTTGGGTTTAACGCAGCTTTTAACAGTATTCCAGTAATATTGCGGCATGTCAGTTTAATGTGGGAGGAAAGCCCAAAGTGATGCAGATCTTAGACATTTACCACTTGTGTGAAACCCACAAGCACGGGTATGGTGCTGACACATTTAAACCCACAATCATAGGTTTCTGGCATGCCCAAGGGATGCAACTCTATACAGCAAATCGCGGCGCCATAGACGACCGGGCAACCCATGCCCAAAAAACATTTTCTGTCGTAAACCCTTTCAAAATGATCTATGATGGCATTCCCAAAGACATAAACAAAAGTATAAACGTTACTACATTTGGGGTTAGCAGGCAAATTTCAAGATTCTTGTAATGGCCGCGCCCACTCTGGTGGCAGCGATGTTACCGAGAGTGTAACGTAGGTGTCACGCGCTGGGAAAGGAGCTGGGGGGGTGGGCTTTACTTGGTGCTACTTACCGAACAACTTATTTGGCCTCCACATGGTCCTTGAAATTTCAAGGATTTTTAAAAAAAGATATTCCAAGTACTCATGGGTGCCAAGTTGCCACGTAGTTGTTTCTTGATATCACATATATTAAATTTATAAAATCAGCAATAAAGAAAAGTTTAGCATTTAACATTGCTTTTAGCAACTTGACTATTAAGGAGGCTGGAATTAATGTTGATATCACATTTAAGAAATGAATGACTTGTGGTCGTTGTTTATCGTACATTCTACGATGCTTGCTTGAAAGATCAAATGCGTCGACTGTTCTTTATCCTGCGATAAAGTACACTTGTTGAGTTACGCCAAAATGGCCTGACGTCACGACGCTGTTTAAATTACCTCCTCCGTGAAATGAAGGTATTACGTGCTGGGAAGATGGGTGCAACATTGGAGATTGACTGTGATGAACGAAGAGAAAGGGACCTACCCGTAGTGACATGCAGTCACGGAGCTTGTTGACACTGATGATGTCATGACTGAGGTGCGAGTCCCGCATACACAGGGCACACACAAGCCTATTGCACGACAGGCATGCGATATTCTTCTCTATCATCTCGGCTGCGTGCACCCCACACTGGGAGAAGGGTTTAGAGGCTGCTTTCAGCATCTCCTCGCAATCCATACCATCAACTTTGTCACCCGGCCTGAAACACAATCACGGCAGTATCAGTCTCCAAACCTTTCTTACCGCCTCCGTGGTCTAGTGGTAGAGCGTCCGCCCGGAGAGCGGAAAGTCCAGCGTTCGATCCCCGGCCGCATCATACCAAAAGATGTTAAAAGATGGTACTTGTTGTTACCCTGTCTTGCGCTCGGCATAAAGGAGCTAAATCAAGAACTGGTCGGCTCGGAGTCAGTATACTGTGTCTGAGTGGGGTATTCATGTTAAACTGTGGCATGGTATCTCAGTGAGCTAGCACTATAAATCAGCATCAGTCTGTACTAGTACAAGCAGCCACACACACACACACATACACACACATTTACATGCACATCACGAACATCGATCTACTCAATCTCCATACCCTCAAGTCCCGACACCAGGCAATAGTGGTGTAACGATACAGTATTGTATCCGATGCAAGGCCCAAGATACAATACATCAATATAAAACACCTGTATCGCGATACATATGCTACATTACATGTTATATTTGTGTATGTAGTAGCTGATCAGTTAATTAACAGTAAATCAGTGATGGGTTTTGATGATGTCCACTAAACATGCTAAATATTATTGTAATAAATATGTTAAAGTGTTTGTCATGTTATAAGTCTTGATTCAGGGTTGTGATTCACCCGCAAGAAGAAAGAATATAAACTCATGAATGAAAATACTGTCTCTGGATACAAATTGTATTCCAGCCACGGTATCGTGACCCCATGTACAATTACACCTGTACCAGATGAACCAGTGATTGATAGCATTAGCAATGACCGACACAGACCATCTTCCTGAGGCAAGGGCGTTAACTGACTATAAAAGACTGCCATTTTGTTTGAAGCAAATGCAAATGAGATGAGAGGTGAAATCTGATTGGTCAATAGGGAGTGAGTGAGTGAGCATGGTTTTACGCCGCTTTTAGCAATATTCCAGCAATATCCCGGTGGGGGACACCAGAAATGGGCTTCACACATTGTACCCATGTCGGGAATCGAACCCGGGTCTTCGGCGTGATGAGCAAACGCTTTAACCACTAGGCTACCTGGCCGCCCCTGGTCAATAGGGGGGACACAGAACTGACAAAACTTGTAATAGGCACTGGTGTTGAATCCTCATGGACAGTACCAGTGACACAACAGGAGTATGCTCTGGGGGGATTCATCACACATAAATTGCTTCTTTCTTTACTGAACCTTTAATAAAGTTGACAATGTGACAACTGTGCAGTCTGATACTACATCTGATTACATCATAATATTCTGTTGGGTTTGTTGTCTCCAAGCGTATTACAGAAACGTGACCCAGCCAAAAATAAAATACATACTGTGCACGTGACAGAATTTACCATATCCCCAATTCAAGTGATTCCATGGCATTTGACTAGATAACTAACAATACTTTATGCATTTATTTTTCCATAAACGGAAAAAAAGAATTACCGTGTCCTGATAACAATGGGCGGGGCTTGTGTTGCATAGTGGCACTTAACGATGTCGCTGCATGATTTTGTATAATTGTCTAGATTTTGTTAATGATAAAACAAGCATAAGTTAAGTTATTATTCTTTATTATGAGTTGAACTGATGAAGGAATTTGCACCCACAACTATATTAAAACAAAACAAAATTAACAAGGGACTGTATTAGGGCTGGGACGAGTCCAAATTTACTACCCGGGTACCCACCCCACTATTACCCGACCCTACCCGGGTACCAGCTGTAGGTCACAAGAGAGGTGTACAAAATGTCTGATTAGGAAACGTCTGACCGTACTCCTGTCAAAATGTATTTAAATATTTAAATACACGTAAACTCCGATCTGGTCATGCATACACTGAAGTTGACTGAATATACAAACATATAGAGTCAGAAGGATTGTGTGTATAGTCAGAACGAAATGTGTCACTTATAGTGTAACCATAGAGTTCTAAATATGTTTTGCCATTAAAAAATATAATCACGTGACTTGCTACGGGTCCGGGTAGTCCTGTGGGTACCCGGGTCTTACTCAGTACCCACCCGACCGGAGTACCCAAGTTACCCGTCCCAGCCCTAGACTGTACGACATTTAACATATCGATTCTAATAGCTATTAACCTAGATAGCCAGCATGGCCACAACCTTAACACAAACAGCGCAAATACAGTATCATGACATATGTTATATAATGTGACTGTAGTACTACCATAGGTATACTGGCTTAGGTTACAGACATCTTTAGGCATAATATAGAAAATAGGACACCATTTATGGTACCTTGGTGGTAGCACAACGGGTATCCCGCCGGGTAGCATAGCGGGTATATAAATAGCCTACCCAAAATGATAACCGGCATCTGCTAAGTTCAAATAAACAACAAAATTAATTATAGATTAAACTGGCACACTTATTCATGAACTAGTGATACGACTAATCATTATAATCAGAGACCACGCTGGTATATGTTTGTACATTGGACTTCTGGAAAAAGAGGCTTTTGTCTTAGATCCGCGTTTGTTGATGTAAACAGTTATTGACGTTCGCAACCAATCTCTTAGTTACATGATCAAATAGATTGCACAGTGTTTACAATGTGGATAGGATAGAATGTCAATACATACATGTTTCTACAACATGGGTTGATTCTACACTCGGTTGATGGGTGATGGGACTTCCCCCATTTTAATTTCAGCGATAATTTCCGGTTATGGTAATTGTCTCCCTTTGCGAAAGATATGATAGTTGTCTCCCCTAGCGAAGGCACAAACAAGCCCATTCCCAGTGCGTGGCATCTTCGTTACAGTTGAAGAGAAACCAATTTTACGAGTGGGCGAACATTAAAGAGAATCGATAGTGTTACTTTTATGTCTTTTACAAGTTCATTCGTAGTATGTGATTTTATAAAGAATAATGAAAATAATTGCGAGAGCGCGGTTCGCTTATTTCACAAAGTAAGTAGATTTTGTTAAAGGGGCACTGATCCAAAGCAATTCCCCGGGACTGGTTGTTTTCTTTGTTATTCTTTTTTCCCCGTGAGTACCCGGATGTATAGCAGAAATCTAGACTAGTTCGCGACCTGTGCTGCGCCATTCCTAAGCGCATTAGTCACTTTTATTGATAGTATAAGGGCGTATGGTCACATTGATCAACAAAGTGAAATACAGTTTTCGAGATAATAAGGAAATGTAGGTATATTTGTGAATAGCATCGGTAATGGTGACGAAGTTTTGATAAGTCACTTGCTTGGTAATTTTGCTATTTTCGTTTACACTATTTTGACTTGCAACACAAACTAAATATTTCACCTGAACATTGCTTATTTTATAGTGTGTATATTTTTACTGTCAAAATGTGTAAAATGTTCACTTAGGAAATTTATTAAACGCCTAAATATTCAGTTATTTTACAAATTGACTGAAAGAAATTCCATCTGTATTATTATGATAACGAATTCCAAACATTTTTATGTTTAATATCATCACCAAGTGCCTGAAAATGTCAGGATTGAAAGTACAATTCTACATTGTTTGTCTTCTAATACTAGCATAATTAATATATTCTGATGTTTTAAGCCCTTTTGAACGTCTTAATCATTTTAGTCAATCTGTTAAAGAAATGGACAGATTTTTCAGTCGATTTGTAAAATGACTGAAATATTTAGAAATTTTAGAAATTGACTGAGTGAATCACATTTTACACATTGACTGTAACATATATACGCTTACAAAGGAAAGGACTTGTGAAAACAACGCATTGAAGAACTTCCCAACCAAGACGTAGAGGAACAAGAATGATTTTGTTCAATGCTACAGAAAAAGAATGAAAACAGAGCTCAAATTTCATAATTACAACCTACCAAAGTTATGTGTAAAATGTTAGGCAGCTACCTTATTCGAGGAATGTATCCGTGAATATTCACATAAAGGAACAATATCCCATACACCTGCAGCTGTACAAAGAAACCTATTCGATGTCACGTGTCTCAATATTTCGGGATATTATAACCCGTGTTCGTTTCTCAACTGATCACTTGGATTGTTTCAGGTGTTTCACATAGGTGTCAAATCTCAAAGGTCAGCTGAGAAAGCCCACGTGACAACTATTTTCATTATGTCCACGGTTCTTAACAAAATCCATTAAGTTAGATAACAATAAGCAATCAATCCACGTAGTTTCGGTTAATCCTTTGAACAAAGTATGTTTGTTTTACATCGGCACTTCTCGCCATGATATGAGTGTATTCCGCTTTAGTAAACCTACTCATGTAAACACTTACTTTTGACATATCCACTGTGCAAGATAACAGTGATTAATCAATCAACGTATTCTTTGTTGATCCTTTGATGGCTAGGAATGATCCGTTGATTTACAAAAAAAGTAAATCAACTGATTATTCATCTCTTGCTGGGCTGCCACGTGCATATTACATAACACACATTTCATCTCACTTCAAACCTGGATTTAGATTGAACAATTACCCCAGACACAAGGAATGCCAAATGGGAACCTTTATCAGGTGGTCTGAGTGGTGCTACCATTAATTATACCTGTAATAAATTCATTATCTGAGCATCATGTGAATGACGACAAATACACAAGTGTAGGGTTATACCAGAAAACCTGGATGACAACAAGGGAGTGGTCCCTTCAATCATAAATCTTTCCCATTAGGTGCTCCCAGCAGACTAGGTTTCTTACAGCGTCATACTCTGTCACTAAGCCTTCTTATCCCATTTCACCACCTTTACTGTATTTCTTTCTTCTTTACACACCTTCATTTATAGTTTTTTGGGCCAGCCGATTACATCTTTATTCCCCAATATTATGTTATTATATAAAACCCGGCTGGCCCCGACTGCGAAATAGCCGATGGCTGAAGCGGTTGTAAAATCCCTCAAATCTCTCTCAGGGAGTGGTCATCGTATTATCCACGCAATCCGAAATAGCGAAAATGCTTTCACTGCAGGGGTACATTTTGTATTATTAACCATCGGGGGAATTTCCAAATAACGTTGAGCTTCCGCCGTTCTTGTGTCTGTTTGTTTAGGCTGAAGAAATTAATTAACACGCGCCCTTTGTCGAAATCTTCATAGATCATGGGTAACCAATCAAAGTTCAAAAACGCGTAAAACAAAATATTGCCTCCAAGTTTATTTAGCTGTCCTTGCAGACGGTAGCCCAGTCTCTTGTCACGCTCAGTTGCGTTAGCGAGCAAATCGACTCACGGCAGCTGGGGAGCCCTAGCGGGAGTGTTTGACGGCCGAGAAGAAGAAGAAGACAGCGATTTGCGGTGCGTTAAACAACAAACAAAAAAGCTGGTTGCCAAGCTCAACAATGGTAGAGAGTAAAACTATTGAAATGCATTGTTCAATTTTCATCCAATTTAAATCAAACTCAGGAGCAAAGACTCGATAAATTTTAGTATCAATAAACCGAATATTATGGAGTTAGCACACTGTTGTTGACATCACGAAGTATATATTTATGGTGAACACGTCTCTTCGAAGTCATAACTTTTGTCTGTGCACGTTCACTTCCAGTCGTTTTTTCCAGACAGTGTTCGGGCATTGAAATCAAACGAAGTGGTGATATAGGAAATTATCGGCGATTTTAAAAAATAAATAAAAGATGGGGGTGGGGGGGGGGGGGGGGGGGGGGGGGGGGTGGGGGGTAGGAGACAATGCCATCTCGCATCAAAAGATGGGGAAACAATTGCCCCCTCCCTCCCCCCCCTCCCCCCCCCCCCACCCCCCCCCCCCCCCCCCCCCCTCCTCTCCTCGTTCCTATGCCTATGAACGAGTGTGATATGACTTCAAATGATATTCCAAGGTACGTTATGAAAATTAACGTCATATACTGTTTGTAATAGAAACGAAATCTAAGGGGGACACATATGACATAAACGTCAGGTGGTTATATATACATCTAATGTGCTTATCTTCCAAGTAGTCTTCGTTAACAAGATGCATAACTGTTCCATGATATTGTCAGGGAAACCTATACCCACACGACCCCATGATCATCGATAGTCGTCATTATGTTGGTGTCAGTTGGCTGCCATAGGGTGGTCACACTCAAGGTCTGACCAGATATATAGAGCGTGTAGTCCAGAGCATGTAGTCAGACATACAGAGCGTATGGTCAGACATAATCATGGCGGGGACATATGTGCTGCTCCTCGTCAGTGTCCTGCTTCAAGGAAGTGAACAGATGCCGCCTCTCAAACAACCAAACCTCCCGAGACCCCCTCCTGCTGGTTACTGGGGCGGTCGGGTAGCCTAGTGGTTAAAGCGTTCGCTCGTCACGCCGATGACCCGGGTTCGATTCCCGACATGGGTACAATGTGTGAAGCCCATTTCTGGTGTCCCCCCGCCGTGATATTGCTGGACTATTGCTAAAAGCGGCGTAAAGCCATACTCACTCACTGGTACTCCTGGACAGGTGAACAGTATAGCGTCAAACCCTGCTCCCAACACTGGCAGCGGTGTGATATTCAAGTTGCCTGTACCATTCACTCAGACACCAACAGCGCTAAACAACGCTCCCCAAGCCTGCCCCGGAATAATAGTGAATTTTAAGAAGGGCACAGATAATACTTTTCCTAGCTTCAAATGCAAGTACGAGCGCGGACTTTGGGGTTGACTTTGATTTGACTTTTATGAAAACGTTGAGCGATGAGACAGAGTCTACGTGCTCGAATTGGTGCATCACAAACGGAGACTGCACGTTGGCCATGTTTTGTAAAGTGGCGACTCCAAACGCATCTCTTCCCCAGGCTGGGCCTTTGACACCGGGTGGTTTAAAACTGAATGTTGCGTCGAAATCACCGTCCGGCTCCAAAGGTGCATGTCATGTGTTTCGAGAAAGATAAAGATAAAGATTGGGACACCGATTGTAAACCCTTACTTACTTACGTACATTGGAGATTTTACGTGCGCTTTCCGACTGATGCGTATTTCGCACACGGGCCCGGCCAAGCCATTAAATGTGTTTCCGAAAGGGGCGAAAGTGGTCTGTGCAACCCAAGAGGGGGCTTTAGGGGTTGCTTATATAGAATTTTGGGAATTTTTAGATTTTGATTAGATGCCGATGGGGATGGGGAGAAGAACTAAGGGAGCTGGGTATGGTGGTTGTTTGTTTGTTAATGTGATTTTGATTTGGTAGTTTTTTGGGTTTTTAAATGCGATTTATTAGTTCCGTTTTGATTAAGAATACGCCTATGGCCTTGAAGTTTTCTAGTTTATTTTGTGGGTTTAGTATTGCTTCTAAAGTAAGAGCCTTATTTAGGTTGAGGGTGGTTTGTAGTGTAGTTCGGTGTGTTAGGTAGTGGGTGCAGTGGATGAGTGCGTGTTCTGGGGTTTCTAGTTGTTTGCAGTGTGGGCAGTTACCTGTAGCGTGTATTTTATATTCATTTGAGGTGGTTATTTAGGTTGGTGTGTCCTGTTTGGAGTTTAGTGATTACTCTGTCGATTTTTTTGGATGGATGGAGAATTTCTGGTTTGGTTAGTGGTTTTCTGAGAACTTTTTTGATTTGGCTATTTAAGTTTAGATATAGGTTATGCCATTTTTTGGTGATTTTTTGTTTGTTTACACTTTTAATTTCTGATTTTTGAGTTGGGTAAGTTTAAGCTTATTTCTGGGATTTTGAGGGATAGTTTAGCTGCTTTATCGGCGTTTTCATTACCGTATATTCCTACGTGGGCGGGGATCCATAAGAATGTTATTTGTTTGCCTGCCTTAGTTAGGTCGTTGGAGCTTTTAAGTATTTGATTTATTAGTTTAGGGCGGTTTTTGGTGTTTTTGTTTTTGAGGGCTTGCAGTCCACTTAGGGAGTCAGTAAGTATTAGGATTTTTTTTGGTGGTTTTTGGATTGTTGATTATGAAGGGCTGAGGTCATGCCCATTAGTTCTGCCGTGAATATTGATTGGTTGTTTGGGAGTCGGAAGGATTGTGTGCTTTTAGCTGGTTGTGCGATTTGGACTCCGAAACCTGTGTGTTTAGAGATCGGATCTGAAGATCTGTCCGTGTAAATGTGACATCAATTTGGCCAATTTTCGTGTATGTATGCTAGTGTGGTAGTTTTAGCTATGTTTGGGTCGGTTTGTTTATTTATTATGCTAGCTAGTGTTGTGTCTATTTTGGGTATTTTAAGTTTTGGGGTGAAGATATTTGATTGTTTGCAGTTTTGTTTAAGATTGTTTATTTGGTGTTCATTTAGGTAGTTGGTTATCCTTTGGGATATTGGGGTAAGTAGGGGGTGTTTACGAGCTAGAGCTTGGTTATTGGAGCTGATGTTTTTGTTTATTAAGTTTTGGATGAGAGGGTTTGATTGGGACGCGGCCCAGAAATTTTAGGTTAGTTGTTCCCTGTGTAGACTTAGTGGCATTTCTCCTGTTAAGGCCTGAAGTGAAGTGAAGGAGGTGCCATGCTGGGTGCGTGTAATTAGTTTGAGAGCCTGATATTGTACTGGGTCAAGTTTTTTAGATAGAGAGTTGTATAGGGTGTTGTATATGGCGCAGCCGTAGTCTAGTTTTGATCTAATTAGTGATATGTAGAGAGAGAGGAGGGTATCTTTGGAGGCCCCCCAGTTAGAGCCAGTTAGGCATCTTAGCGTGTTTAGGTCTTTACTGCATTTAGTTGTTAGGTTTTGGATGTGAGCATCCCAGGAGAGATGTTCATCGAAAATTAGTCCTAAGAATTTAGTTTGTTTTTGAAATTTGATTGTTCGGTTGTTTAGCTGGAGGATTGGGGAGGCGGGTTTCATGTTTTTATGTTTAAATACTATTCCTGTTGTTTTTTCTGAGTTAAGGGAGAAGCCCCATTTGTCAGCCCATTGTTATATTTTGTTTGGAGATTTTTGGAGTAAATTTTGGGCCATTTTGATGCTTCAAGTGCGGACCAAGAGGGCTCCATAATCCGCGAATTTTGATGTGTTTAGTTTAGGGGATAGGCCCTCGAATAGATCATTTATCATTATATGTAAATCCTTAATATACCGTGAGTAAATATCCCACGCCCCCACCCCCCTGTAGGGACCGAGTTGTTTGTGTTGTTGTTTTACGCTTCTCTCAGCAATATTCAAATCAAATTATGGTTTCCTGTAAATGATCGAATCTGGACCTGTCAAACGAGTGACTGACATAATGAGCAATGTCAAACCACCGTCGGGACGTTGCTCAGAATATAGACCATCCGTTTGACTGGCTTAAACTATGTGTTGAATGACAATGTAGTTGTTGCTGTGGTAACCTATCTACTGGTATGTCGGCATGTAAGCTGGCAAAAAGCAATATCTCTCCTCTAAAACCTAACAGCCTCTCTGCTTCAGGTGACGAATATTGATATGTTTGCTTGGAGACGCCAATATAATGTTTTAACCTCACACAACCTGATACAGACACGTTACTTCAGATAAGGAATGCCGACAAAAGGAGCGTATCGATTTTAAGCCCGTTGGTGGAGCTTCACGTCAGATGACATGTAAGCTTAGAGGCGCTAGAAGAATCTGTTTAACCCACAAACCATTTCACATGCGCATCTCTGAAACATCTTCCCGAGACAAGGGAGTTAACTGACTGTAAAGGTAAAGTGGACTTTTATAGTCAGTTAACTCCCTTGCATAGAGAAGATGGACGAGAAATGTCGAGATATAAGCTCAGAGGCACCCCAACAATGTATTTATCCCCACAAAACATAACACATGCCCTCCTCTGCTTCTGATAAGGATTGAGATATAAGCACAGAGACGCCAAAAGAATGGGAACAGAGAGGTTCAGAGTACACCGGGGGAAAAGGAGTTGTGCGTTCCTACACGTGCAAACCTGCCAGACACCATGAGCAGCCTATCAAAGCTCACATCCACGTGTGACAAAGCTGGGGCATCAGTATTCACCGACAGTAAGTGTAAGTTATGCAACGTTTTTGTTTCATTTAAATCTGCATAGATATCAAACAACATTACTGGCAAGTAAGGTGAGTGAGCTTTTAACAGTATTCCAGTTATATCGCGGTGATGGTTGATGCATGTCATACCCTCATGATGTCAATCACTGGATTGTCAGGTCCAGACTCGATTATTTACAGACCGCCGTCATATTGCTTGAATATTGCTGGGTGCGGAGTAAAACAACAAACCAACCAACATAAAAGGTGACTAACGGGATCGGGTGGTCAGGCTCGCTGACATGGTTGATGTATGTCATCGTATCCCAATTGTGTAGATCGATACTCATGATCACTGGCTGTCTGATCCAGACTAGATTATTTACAGACCGCCGTCATATAACTGGAATGTTGCTGGGTTTGACACTTAAAAGTATAAAATGTAATGTTTCTGTGCCTTTTTGACAAATTATAAGATGTAAAGTTGTGCATGGTGTTATGTGTTGCTCAAGTTGAAATGCCCAGATCAGATGTGTTCAGGGATTGTTTCGTACCCTCAAGAAAACAGATTAAAGCCTGTCAAAAACGTTTAAGCGTTTATATTGACAGTCACACTAATATTATATGTTTAATGGTAATGTTCTATTGCCATATCCTATCTTTTGTTTGTATGTTTTCGTCACTGGTTGGATGGAACCAAGAGAAGGAAACGATTGTTTACATCCAACCAATGACGCAATATATATATATATATATATATATATATATATATATTTCTGTGGCTCAGATACGGTAGGGAGCGGTCGGGTAGCTTAGTGCTTAAAGCGTTCGCTCGTCACGCCGAAGACCCGGGTTCGATTCCCGACATGGGTACAATGTGTGAAGCCCATTTCTGGTGTCCCCCGCCGTGATATTGCTGGAATATTGCTATGAGCGGCATAAACCATACTCACTCACTCAGATAAGGTTGATATATTCTGTGGTGCAGATAAGGATTTAATATTGACATAGAGTGAAATTCTGTATTTCCCGAAAAAGGTAGGATATCTCCCCTGAACATTCACGGTCGCAATATAGCTGAAATAATGCCGATTCGACGTTAAATTGTAACTCATTCACTCACTCACTGAACATTACCGACTTATTTAATCGATACCCAAATGATTAAACATTGTTGTCCCTGCCGGGAAGCCATATATATCACAGAGAGGGGTGTTCAAAATGTCTCCACATTGTATACCTGCTGAATCGGCGTGATCAGTCAACGCCTTAACCCATTGGGCTACCTCACCGCCAAGGCTTCGCAGTTAAGATCATTTATGTAAACAAATGTCAGATCAAGTCAGAAGTGTTGTATATTTCACGCAGGTGTTC